TTTTCTCAATGATACTATCTCTCCTTGATGATTTCAGATTTCTCATGCTCTTTATGGTTTATTTTGGAAGCAATTGCACTGTCTCCCAACATGATTTTGTTAAAGTGTGTTCTTTAAAACAAAAATCATTAGTTCGCAGCGGATTTTGAGTCTATATTAAAATAATTTTTAAATAGAATAGTCAAAATTATTTTGACGTAAACGTAAGAGAAACACATGTGAAATGCTAGTTAGTTAAAATCACGTGAGTTGGTGAATAGTTAATTAAAGTTATACAATGTGTAAGAATGATTGAGTGGTATTAATTAATTATATTGATAATATTGAGAATAATGGAGTTAGATTAAACTTAAAAAAAAAGTGATCGGTTAAAAAAAATTGGATTTTTTTAGAAAAAAATTATAGCCAAGCAATGCACTTATAGATTATGTAATGGCTCAAAATAATTGGAAAAAAAATCATATTATTGGTTGTCTAAGTTATTGACTCAAAACTAGCAATCTTGCTAAATGAATTTCAAATGACTGGAAGTGGCGATTTGATTATTGAAACTTAATGGTCAAAGGGGCACTAAATTAATTAAATTTGAAAGATCACCTAAGCTAAATCTAGCTAATAGCTATAATACATCAGATAATTGCTAATATATATATGTACAAAATTGTATAATATATCAAGTTTTGACATATGACAAATTTATTCAGTAAATTTTATGATTTAAGAAAATATTTAATAATTAAAAAACCGAGTAAAATAAGTCAAAAATGCAAAAATCATCCACTAAATATTGGTAAAAAATTACAAAGATACTGGAATGTTCGCAATTTGATTAGTTAATGGATTTCTACCAAAAATTATTGAACAAGATCGCAACCATGTTGTGAAGAAAAGCGTTTTTTGTCTGTTACGTTTTAATTAAGTATTAAATAGGAATTCTGTATTTCCTTTTATTTCTATTTTTTTCTTTATCATATCAGCCGTCCACGTGTGGGACATCAGCTGAGAGAGTTAGTTATGCTTTTTGGGAGAGTGAGCAGAGCATGTGCGAGCTTAGATATATATATCGCTGTATCTCTTTTTCTGCAGTAATGAAGTTGAATATTTTTCTTCATTCATCTTTTAATTCATAAAATTAACATGGTATCCAGAGCTTAGGCACGATCATGGTACGCACGGCACACAATCCATGGCCGACGTTGAACGTCGGCCCCGAAAACTCAGAATCAAGGGCCGATCTCCGAGACCAGGACCCCACATACCTGCAAAACTCCGATCATCCTGGCGCAACACTCGTGACATCTCCATTAACAGGTAACAACTACTTACCTTGGAGCAGATCCATGAAAATAGCTCTAGGAGCTAAAACAAAGCTTGGGTTCATAGATGGAACCACACCAGAACCTGAAAAAAATTCACCAGAATATGAGAAATGGAAAAGAGTTGATTGGATGGTGACATCTTGGATTCTGAATTCGATTTCAAAAGACATTGTTGAGGCTTTCATATATGCTAACACAACAAAAGAATTATGGGAAGAATTAGCAGAAAGGTTTGGAGAATGCAATGGGCCCTTGTTGTTTCAACTGCAGAAAGAAATCACAAACATGAACCAAGGAAATATGTCCATTATGATGTATTTCACCAAACTGAAGAAACTCTGGGATGAACAGAATAGCCTAGATCCTCTACCCATTTGTGAATGTGGAGCTGCAAAATTGATGGCAGAAAGAGATGGGAAAGGGAAGCTAATGCAGTTTCTAAGGGCTAAATGACACCTTTGATAGCATAAGGAGTCAAATCCTCATAACAGATCCCCTACCAAATGTGAACAAAGCCTACACCATGATCCTAAGAGTTGAAAGACAAAGGAGTGTTCAAGTTAATGCACATGAACTTGCAGAAAACAGTGCAATGATGGGGAGGATGCACAATCCAAACAGGAATTTAAACACTCAAAATGGGTGGACAGGAAACAAAGCAAAAATGAGCATGAGGAGGACTAAGGAAGAAAAGGCTAAGCTCTTCTGTGAACATTGCCAGATGAATGGACATGAAGTGAAGGAATGTTTTAAAATCCATGGGTACCCTGATTGGTGGAAACAGCCAAAAGAAAGCAAACACAAACAAAGCAACATGGCAAATCTAGCAGGGTTAGAAGGAAAACAAGCTCAGAAGAGTGCAATTGAAACAGAAGGAACCACAAACAGTCAGATGGATATGAGCAGTCTTATCCAACAGGAAATAAGAAAATTCATGATGGGTAATTCAGCCTTGGCAGATACTAACTTCAGCTATGCACATCTTGTGGAATCAAATGATGTAGTACCTAACACTGGGATGCAATATGCACTACACTTTGAAGAAAACATGTGCACAACAACCTGGATTCTAGACACAGGAGCAACCAGACATATGTGCTCCAATTCAACCTTGCTCACAGAGATTACATGCCTGAAACAACCAATCTCAGTTTGTTTACCAGATGGGACAATTAAAGTGGTAAGGCATGCAGGAACACTCAAACTCATGAGGGAATTAACTTTAAAGGAAGTATTGTTGGTCCCAACTTTCAAATTTAATCTCATATCAGTGGCTCAGCTTTGCCAAACACATGAAATGAAGTGTACCTTCACACAAAATCATTGCATAATACAAGGAATCCAGGATGA